GGAAACAGCAGTTTCGAGTTCCCCTTTATTCAGCTACAATCTAATCCAAAGAGTTCTAAACTTTTCAAATCTCCCATCTCTCCAGTCATTTTGCATGACCCATATAGTTTTCTTTGAAATCCTTCTATCACTACCCAACCAAATTTAATGTGAGCTCAATATTATCTCCCATCAGGGAGAATGCACGAGTGATTGCAGCAATGTTTTCCATACTCTTTTTTAAGTAATTCTTAATAGTCTGTAATACTTCCAACATGAAATTTGGGATTTCCAGCTTCAGTATTTAACATGTAAACAACAACACTAAATTTTCACTGAAGTCTCTCTGGGTTTGTCTATAGTAATAAATTGAATGTCTAAGACCAAGTGGACCACATCCATCCTATGAGATGCATGGTTTCCTCTGGGTTCCCTGTGCTGAAGTGCATTATCGCCTCACTATCATTTAGTGTGCTTTATTCATTGTGAAGTGCCTGAAACAAACTTTAGGAGGATTTGCCAAACTCAATTGCTGATGTCAAATTTTGGGGAGACAGTGAATAATAACAGCCTTACCTCTTAGTCTTACTTCTCTCTTACCTGCAGTGTTGCTAAGTTTGGAGTTTCCTTCTGTTTCCTTTTCAATGTCTTATCCTTCTTCTTTTTGTCTGGCTCATCCTCTATGATCAATGCTATGTGATCAGAAGTCTGTTTATCTACAGAGATTTAATGGCATCATATAGGTTTTAATTAGCAAAGCATACCAAATGCTTCAGATAAGGATGCAAAATACATTTCAAAGAGTCCCCCTTCTCCTTTTCCAATAATTTATCTACTGTCAGGCATGGGGTCCTTTCTTTCACCAATGCTCCTCCCAGACAGAGAGATGGCATTTTTTGCTCTCTGTGGCTACCAGATGAACTTGCTGGACCAAGTTTGATGGTGTCCTGTATCACTCCTTCCCTACATCTCCTAGAACACATTCTTTTTCCTCTCTGACTCCTTCCCAACGCAAACTAACAGATCTTAACAGCTTCTATGTAAAATTTACAGCTTATTTAAAACTGGAAGCCAATATTTAGGCTGACTGCTACTTCAGATATTAGGGTGACCCAAGTTCTTTTCTGCTTAAAAGTACCACAAAAGAGAGTGTATGTCACCTTGTGAAAGCCTAGGAGTATGAGAAATAGGGGGAGGTGTTTGGCCAACCTAAAGCTGGATTCTCAACACTGAGAGGGGGCTTCCCAACAAAGAGGGGGTAAGCCCTAAAAATTGGCATTGAGATCATAGAATCATAGAATCATAGAATAGATTGGGTTGGAAAAGACCTCCAAGATCATCAAGTCCAACCCCTGATCCAACTCCAATTACTATATCATGGCACTAAGGGCCACATCCAATCTCTGCTTAAAAACCTCCAGGGATGGTGAATCCACCACCTCTCTGGGTAGGCCGTTCCAATGCTTGATTAC